AAAAGAGACTAGAGGAAACAGCAATGTGGTTATACAGAAGGATATTGAGAATGACATGGACTGAACATTTAAGTAACAAGGAAGTTTTAAGGATAACAAAAACAAAATTGACACATCAATCAAAAAATAAACATGTAGTGAATCAAGAAAACTTGGAACATAGGACATCTTGAAGGCAAGAGGGACTGAGGGAGAGAAACAGTAATTAACTTATATAACGAACTTGTTTAAATGAACAAAGTGTAGGAGGTATAGTAAAAAGTAAAATATTGCAAAGAGCAGCAAGGGATAGAAAGTTGTGGAGTTAAAAAAAAAATATATAATTGAATATTAATAACTTATTGCTAAAATCTAAAAACAAATCTTTTGATCAACCATTATCTACATTCCACTACAGCAGAAAAATATTTTTCATTGTCTAAGGAAGGTGACAACACAATAGAGAAAAAATTAACTTTCTTCATCCTCACACCTTAAAATAAATTTAGAAACTTATTTAAAAAATGGTTAAATAATTATATTTGTTTTTTTGATACTGCTAAAGTTGAGATCATTAAGTTTAGCCTTCTCTGGTAGTGCCACAGGAGTTGAACAAACAAGAATTGAATCCACCACAACATTAGTAAATAATCTGAAAAACTAGTTTGTTGTCAATCTGCAACTTTCTGGTTCAAGGTTACAATCCGGTGGAGGATTTAACTTAAATGTTTTTGTTTTTTTACAAACTAGTGTTTAAATGTTGAAAAGCTGGCACTAATGTTGTCATTTAAACCTTAATTTGGGATTTGAGATGATCGTGTCTAGAATTTAGAAGGGAAAGGAGTCATATTTATTTTCTCTACAATCTCATATTCTGCAAATTGTTCAGCAATGAGTGGTTCTTTATTTTATAGTATATGTTTTATGAGTCACATTAGCTCATAAAGAATTTTGATCAGCTTGCAACACCTTTAACTTTTGACATTATTTAAAGCAATGTCTAACCTAACAAATAAATGTAATAAAAGATGGTCAAAACAAACAATTGTTACTAACATTATTTCCGAGATCAGCTTTCAGAGACTTAGAAATCAATTTTTCAAAAGAAAAATGAAGAAAAAGGGAACTGCTTTAACACATTGAAAAAGGCATCAATCAATATAAAAAAAAAAAAAATTAATAACCGCTTACTACTGTGAATTTTTATTGTACTTTTTCACTTGTGAACTTATACAGATGTCATGTGATCATCTATATCCTTGTACAAATTAATTGAAACAACCACTTTAGTTTCCTTTTTTTTTTCATCATTTTAGATCCACTGGAGTGACAGGATGTAATCGATTTCTATTTTTTCCTCAGATTAGGTCATTTTCAGTGGTAAACAGTAATATGAATCTATTTTTGGGGTGTGTGATAAAATTTGCTTAGCCTTAAAAAATAGATTGCATGAGATTTTTATCATATCCAGACACTATTGTCCCGACTGTCGATTAGTTGTCCTACGGCTATTGTCTGCGATGGCTGTTACCCCAAGGAAGCATATGAAAATTGTAACACTACACGAACACACTGGCAAGCCTTACCAGTGAGCAAATATATAGACTGGCTTGGAAACTCCTGATTTAAATCCAATCAAGAATCTGTGGTCAATCTGCAAGGAACGAGTTCATGGAATGGATATATGAAGTACTAACGTGCACTCTGTCATGTTTCATTGGAAAAATACAGAATTATTCATTTTGTTTCAATTAATTTGCACAAGGGTGTAGTCACAGATATTTGCAAAATTAGATGTATGCATACCATCATTTCATTACAGCTAGATTTAATTTAAATACATTGTTAATAAAAAAAAAAATCATTACAAACTTTTGTACACACTGAATATTACAAACAGGCACATGATATTTATTGGAAGAGTTTTTGTTAATATTTTAGGAAACAATTGATATAATTATTTTAAAAAATCACTTCAATCCTTCAAAAAGGATTGAATATAAATTTAGATATATTTTTCATGCAATATTTTTATTTAAATTAGCTTCTTCAAAAAGAAAGGAATAGGTGAACGAGAGGTCAATCAAGAGAAAGATCTGTGCTATCAAAATACAATTTTATGTTAGCCAAAGTAGATAGGATTTTTATCTGAGATACGTTTAATTAAAAAAACATGAACAAATCAAGACTTGTCCGTCCACAAAAAGATAATATAACTTGCAGAGTGACATAATGAAAAACAACTTTCTTATATTACACACCATTTTGTTAAACTTTGCTTTGTTTGTTCTTAATGAGAATTTTTACACTTTAGAATCAAATCACCTGTGAGATTTTGGGAAGATTATTTTTTACCATTTTCTTTTTTCCAAAGCCAGAAGAAAACAAATATTGAGAGAAAAAAAAGTGATACTATTGAAAAAAACTGTTCAAAATTCAATCCACATATTCTTTTTAGAAATGGGTCAAAAAAATACTACATAATAATACTGAAGGAAGAGACAAATAGGTAAGAAGAGTTTCAATATTTACTATACTTTGCAAAAATATAGTCTGCAAAGGTTTCATAGTAAATACTAAATATCAATGAAAATAGTTTCCTATTTGCTGCAGCTAAAAAAATCTGAAAAATTATTTTCACATTATAAATAAGCAAGCAAGAAATAATACTGAATTTTGAACTAAAAGTTTTATTGGAAGCAAAAACTCATTAACTTTTATTTACAAGATATTCTTTTATTTGTAATAAAAACAAAGTGTTAAGATTTTTTGTTTCAATCAAAAAAAAAAAAAAAAAAAATACAGGACTGTCACAAGAAAAAAAATAGTGGAAAATGTTAACAGAATTAGTAAAATTGTTTAAACTGAATCACATAATAAATAAATCCATAAAATAATAAAGTAATTTACTAATTATGACGAAAACTCTTTTTAGAATTAAATTTCAAGTCATTCTGGGGAAAAAATTTGAAATTTTTAAAAACAAAAACATTAAGCATGAATGATCTTCATGATAATATTGCATATAAATAAATGGTTTTAAAAAGACATAAGGTATTTTAAATGCTATTGTTAAAAAAAAAAAGCAAAAAATGTCAGATCTTTACACAAGTGAATACACATCCATCCCATCTTAGGTCAGAAGAATTATTTTTTTTAATCATGCAATTTTCTAAAATTATTTCCAAAAGAAATTTATGTAATTTTCCGAAGTAGAGAATAAAAGAATAATGATCTTGGTCTTAAAAAGATTCATTTAATTTTTTTTTCAATAATGATCTTAATTTTTTATTTTTTTATTTCTTTCCATAAATGGCTCTAACTGACTTTTCTTTTTTTTTTTTCTGTTGAGCTTTCTTTTTTTAAAAAAAAAAAACAAACTAAAACATGAAGGGATCCTAAAAAGAGGGAGACATTTCCTCTTTTAACCAACAACAGATGACTAACAACAAACAAACGCATCACACTGTTCCCCACTCACCCTTTCACTTCAAACAGAGAATTTCAGTATTTCGCGTTATTTTTTATTTATTTGTTTTTTGGTAAGGTTCTAAAATTACGAGTGTACTGCAAAAAATACAGGAGTGTTTGTCTGTCTGGGGAAAAAGTAGTAAAAATAGGAAGAAAGAATTTACAGTGAAAACATTAAACAAAAATTTTTTTAAAAGGACATTGACATCAAGCATCCCCCGGGGTGAGTAATGATGATGATGATGTAAAAATATATAACAAAGAGCCGGTAATGACCTGAATATTGATTGCTCGAAAGAATGAAGAATTGACAGATTTTATAGCCATACCTTGCTATTATTAACAATAGCAACTTTTAAAACTGACTACTGCTATCGACATTTTCAATCAATTATGGTACCCGACTCACACCCGCTTCAAACATAAATGCCGCATTTTTTTTTTTTTTTTTACTCCTGGGTTCTGTGTTCTGTTGAGCATCTCTCTTTTTTATACAGAAAATTTATTTTCTAGACAATATGTACAATTAAGGCTGTCCACGTGAAGAGAATTAATTAAAATGATGTAAGTACATTCGGTTTGTTGATGGTGACTTTCATAATTTATAATGAGATTTACATTGCAAGTACAGTACGGGTCATTACTTGCTTTGTCTCATATTTCCAGACAGAAAAAAAAATGAATTCAAAAATAGATGCCACTCTTTATTTATTTTAGGTTTTGAAAAAAAAGAAACCGAATAAAGTTTTTTAGAGAATCGAACTGAAATGGTGGCATTTATGGGGTTAAACAGAAAGAATTTGCTTTTGAATAGAACTGCTTTTTAGCTTTTAGTTCACTGATGACATTCTTCAAGCTTCATTATAATGACGATGGTTTACGTTTAAAATAAAAGGGGAAAAGAGAAGAATTATATTTCTAAAAATGGAAAACAGTTTTACTTTTATTTATTTTCTGTTTTGTGAAATTTTAAAACAAAAACATTAAGTATGAAATTGAAATATGACCTTTCATGATCATTAACATTGCTTAAATGATTTTTTTAAAGAAATTATTAACTAAGTATTTTTAATTAAATGATAAGGAAAAAAAGCAAGAGATGTTTACAAACAATTTACATCTCATCTTAAAAAGAAAGCAAGTGAAGAGGAATTTTAAAAAAATATACTTTTTAGTTTTAAGAAAAACTTAAATTTAAAACAAGAAAATTAATTTAAAAAGTTACTTTAAAATTTAATAATACACGAGAAAAATAAAATGATAAAAAAAATGTAAGCCATGTTTACATTTGCAACTCGATTTGTCTTTGATAAAACAATTTTAGCATGGAATAATTTTCGAAACATTGGATTTTCACAGCGTAACAGTCTAAAAATAATCCGAAGAACCAATTTCGCGTATTTTTTTTTTTTAAACCCTCTTTCCATTTTCTCTTAAATAAATATTCTTCTGTGCCGCCCTAAAGCGACATGGACCGAAGCAGGTAGTCGATCAAACAAAAAAGAAAAAGAAATATTTTTAAAGAGAAACATAACAAGTAAACAACTTACGAGTCGTAGAAAGAAATTCCTGAAAGATTTATCTTCTATCTCCAGGTTTGCCGGCGAATGTTTTAAATTCGCTGCTGGACTCTGTCTACGTCTCGACTCGTGCGTCGCAAAGATCGAAATGGAATGCTTATTTCCCTTCAACGATAAGCTTATAAGGGGGAGTTAACTCTGCCGGGAAAATGAGTGTGCACCAGGGAGAGAAGAGGAGTCGGGGAAGAAATAGAAAGAGAAATAGTAGTATTGAGAGATAAAGAGAAGAATAAATAAAGAGAAGAATAAATAAAGACATAAGAGTGCCAAAAGAAAGAAAGATAAAGGAAAATAAGAGAGAGCAAAAGGAAAATATAGAAAAAGACATAAGAAAAGTGAGGTAAAAGAAAGTAAAGGGGAAAATGGAGGAAAGTAACGAAACATAAAGTAAAGAGCACCAAATAGATGGAAAAGAAAGATAAGCTAAGCAGGAGAAAAAGGTAAGTAGAGCGATAAAAGAAAGGAAAGAGAGATAAAGTAGAAAGTAGAGAGATAAAAGAAAGAAAAGAAAAGAGGGAAAAAGGGGTAAATGTAAAAAAAAGATAGCAAGAGAAAAAGAGAACAAATAAATAAAAGGGAAAGAGAGAAGAAATTAAGGAAAGAAAGGAGAAAAAGAAAAAGAGAGATAAGAAGATAAAAAAGATAGGGAATAGAAATATGGATAAAACGAGAGGGAAATATTGATAAATGGAATAAAGAAGAGAGAGAAAGCGAGAGATAACAAAATTATGTCTGTGCCTGTGTGTGTGAATGTACACATAGGAATTTGCATGTTATGGATAAATACATTTCAGTAAGTTTGAATTGCAACAAAAACATCTTTGTATTTATTATTATAAGTACACAAACTGTACACAAATATAAACAGATGTCAATTCAAAAAAGTATCTTTCAAATGTGTGTTTGGGTATATAAATATATACATATGTATACACACACACACATACACATATATATAAATATATATATACCAGACACATATCAGTAGCAGCAGTAGCCATTACATGTCCACTGTTAAACAAAGACCATGCTATGTACTATCTCTGCCATATCTTAGCAACAAAGAACTCTATCTTACCTTTCTATACTCTTTATTTACATTATTCGGACTCTTATCCTCATCTTCATTGCCATATTCACAACATTCCTGCCAGTGTACACTCTGGCCTTCTTCCTCTGAATCCTGTATTCATCCACTGGGGTAGATTGTTCTAGTTCCATATGTCATGCCTCTTCTGGATGTCTCAGTTATTTCCCTTTAACCCAACTCTCCAAGTTTTTTGGTTCACCACTGTTGTAGCTTGGTATTGAATTCATAACTCTTTGAGTCTAGTCACTGGTTCTAAGCAATGTCTTTATTAACTGTGCCATGTGTCCTTGCTGGCAATGAAAATAAGGATAACAGTCCAAATAATGTAAATAATCATAATACCTCATCTCAGAGATATAGACAGATATTTCTATATTCCATATACTCTTTTTTCTGTTGCACCATTAGCTAAATTTTTGCTTCATCTGTAATCTTTTCTTCTTGTTACTTTTTCACCCCCATCTCCCTCACTTAATCACTTCAATATTATCTCTTATTTTTATCTATTCCCCAACCCATCTTGACCTTTTACTTAACTTAGAGCAATTATAGAAATAACTATTTTTAGAATTCCTCTTTCCATTGATCTTTGTACTCTTCTAAGAAAGTGTTTAAGCCATTTTATCAATTTCTGTGTTTTTCACCCATAGCTGGTGTAGTGAATAGGTACTACCAAATGGTAATAGATGAGGTGACAAGTTTGGAACTGAAGGAGTTACATCTTGTTGCTGATGAGGATAAGACTTTGGGTTATAAAGGAATTCAACATTTTCAAAAAAAAGTAATTTCAACACATAGAAGAATTTTATGTATATAATTATATATAGAACAATATAGAAGCAATATAACTAAAAAAAAAAAAAAATTTATATCTATGTGTATACAGAGAGCTTAAAAAAAGTCTGAACCACTCAGACTTGCTATTAAGACAAAAATAATTGTGTCATCAGCATAGATATCAAGTTCTTTTTGGTAATTTACTGATCAATGGATTTTTGTTAGGCATAAACTATCTTTGTTATTATTTATTTAGACACACACATACACATATATTTATATATGTATGCATGTATGTTTAGATAGATAAGTTCTTTAGTGGAGTGCTTTGCTACTGTGACCTTATGCCAGACTAAAATAAGCTTACAAAGTAACTGTATATTTTATCTCTTGGCTAAGATAATTTGTCTATTTCCAAGTAAATAATAGCAGTTCAGTTTCAAACACAGGTAAAACCAGTATTTTGAAAGCTGATTTTTAAGGCCAGTTCTTTTATAGAGAACAACATCACATAGGATTTGTATGCACCCCTACTGGACTGAAATAATTATTCGAGCTAAGGGAGGGAAGCCACACAAAATATTAACAATGTATATTAACACTTTGAAATGAACATTGCATAGTAAATTTTCACTATATAAACTTTTTTTTTTGTTTGAAAACACTTCATCAGGTCTGGTTTATGTTAGACGGCTGAAAACTTTTAGATAGTTATTTTTTGGAAGTTGTCTTATATCTCTTTCTCTTGTTCAGAAGATCTATTACAAAATATACTAAATGTACTAATTATACTAATTATGTATGGAAATGACTGCACTAGAGCAATTGTTTCTTCTGTAGTTACACAATAGGAAACGTCCACTTATAAAATGGCAATTATTAGAAACTTACAATACCTTAAAGTGACTGAAGATTTTTACACATACTCTCTCTACATATATATCTATATCTATAATTCTCAAAATGGGTGTGTATATTTGTGTGTGTGTGTGTGTGTGTGTGTGTGTGATCGGATGTTGTTTATATGTTTCCACAGTTTTCATCTGATTTTGATGAATTATTTTTATTTGATAGATAATTCTTCAGTGCCAGTTTTGAGTCCAAATTATTGGCAACAATAGCTCTCCACTACTTCCTATCCATTATAACTCTCAGCAACATTTTACTTTTTACTATCTGTTCTTGGATATATAAAATTATCTATATCTATAATTCTCAAAATGTGTGTGTGTGTGTGTGTGTGTGTGTGTGTGTGTGTGTGTGTGTGTGTGTGTGTGTGTGTGTGTGATCGGATGTTGTTTATGCGTTTCCACAGTTTTTATCCGATTTCAATGAAATTTTTTTGTTTGATAGATAATTCTTCAGTGCCAGTTCTGTGTCCAAATTACACATTCCCCTTCTCTTGGCCAAGTGTTTGATCTCTCTCAAGTGAGGGTACCTTTTCCGTTGCATAAAGCCTACTACTACAGTTTTAAGGCATTGCTTTCAATGTCGTTTATAGCTGTTCCCATTTTAAATTTTTTTTATTGTCCTGCCAGTTTTCACATTGCATTCACCATAGTAATAAGTAAGCTTACTTTTTTATTACTCAACATTTATTTTTCCAATCTTTCCTAAAGTTATTCGAGCTTAGTGATCCTTGTAGCTTTACAGCATTCTCTTCTGGTATTTGCCCACACATTCCATTTGATAATTCATACATGCCTAAGACATGCCACCAAAGAAAAGAACTTGCCTAGGTTGCAAAACCGCTACTGCCAGGTCCACCATGTGAATAAGAGATAACAAATCATCTTTATAATGTTCAGTTTGCCTATCTCAAAATATCTCTCAGAATGCTTCAATCAGAGCCACTGAGTCTGAAGATCAACGTAGCCATCAGCTTTCCAGAAGAGCATACCTGAATGCTTCTGCACTTGAGGCTGAAAACGATTAAAGGACTCAGTGGTTGAAAAGAAAAGCCTCTTCAACTGCTGCTGCAAGTGAGGCTGAAACTGCTGATCAAAGGACTCAACGGCTGAGGAGAAACACCTGTTCAACTGCTGCTGTGTGTGAGGCTGAAACAAGATTAAGAATGTAAAAACGACCCTTTTCAAGGCCATCTCCCATTCAAATTGTTAACCACCCATTTTGAGATGTGCCTCAGTTGCACCCAATTGTTGTTACTAATATTGATTTTTAAGTGGGCTGACTTTAAACTTAAACTGCTCCAATTGAACGTAAACATTCCCAGTAATGAAAGACCCAATCAATATATATTCTGAGAAGTTTCACACACACACACACACACACACACACACACATATATATGTATATATAAATATAAATAAACATCAAGGTCAATATCCAGAAGCAACAGCTTGCTTTATGCTTAAATGGAATCTTCAAGCCTGAAGATTGTGTTTAAGCATAAAACAGACTGTCACTGATGGGTGTTGACCTCAATGTCCACTTATAGATCTATATACAGTCAATCCCTGGTATTAAGCAATTTAACACACACACACACACACACATATATATATGACTTTACATTTGTGTTTAGCATGAAACAGACTGTTGCTTCTGGGTGCTGACTTCAATGTCCCCTTCTCTATATATAAACAAACTATTAAATAAACAACCTAAACAAGTCTCAAAAAATTTTTTACTATGTTAATAAAACATCGAAATCCAAAAAGAATAAATAAATATATAAAACAAAAAATAAAAATTAAATAAAAAACAAGTAAACTAAATTAACCCAAATAAAAAATAAATAAACAAACCACTCCCACCAAAATAACTGCCAGAATGGACTACCCACACTGCACCACTGATCCGTATATATATAGTCAAGAAAAAAAAACAACATTTGTGGCATGACGATTGTGCCTAGCATGAAACAGCCTGTTGCCTCTGAGTGTTGACTTCAATGTTCACTTTTATATTTACATATACTCTATCTCTGATATTGAGCACTTTATCCTATAAATATAGCACACCTTAAAACTATATTTCTTCATATATATATATATATATATATATATATATATATATATATATATATATATAGTATTATTAGTAGTGGTTAGCCACTCATATCTGAGTATGCCTGTCTACTAGGGCAGCTATCCAATAACTGTTGCAAATGCCTGCTCAGGCACATTTGTGTTTGTTCAACAACCACAGAGCTCACCTGTGATTTATACTGCAACTATGCTGAGTGGACCTTAGTTACTAGAGTGAAAAATAGTCAGAACTAGACCGGTATGTTCAAACCCTCGGTGACAATGACTTGCGACTTTGTGCTAACACAGCCATCAATAGGTCCCAAACAGTTCCATCTACCCAATTTCACTCACAAGGCTTGAGTCAACCCATGGTATGGTTTCAAGCACTTTCCAAAGGTGTTGCACATTGGGATCACTTACCCAGGTCAATAGCATCAAAAAGTCACTTCTTGACAAATTGACCATGGTGAGATTCAAACCTGGGTGTTATGGTCAAAAAGCAAATGTTCTAACCACTCAGCCACATATCCATACATGATTATATAAAACAAAAGATCCATATGCAAAAGTACACTAGTAGTTAAGTCCCTAGAGAATTCATTTTATATGTTCGCTTATACATGAAGTACTTTTATTATTTTTTATTTATTCTTTTGATTAAAATTTTATATAATAAATATCTGTGCCAAGTGGCTTCACTCTGCATACTTTTGCTTTGAAGGAAAATGTGTAGAGTGTGGTTGTCTCACCACATGAGAGAGGTTCCATCAGTGACCATCACTTGTGCAGCAGATCTTTTGCCTCTTTTATGACTTTTCTTTAAAAATCAAATCCCACTTGAAAGCAACAAGACTTCAAGACATCAAGGAAATCCAAGAGAATGCAATGAAACAGCTGCTTGCCATTCCAAATGTTTCCATTTATGGCAACAACACTAAATAATGTGTGTGACTTTAAATAGGGACTACTTTGAAGGAGATTAAATGCCAAATTTATATGTGTTGTAGTTTTCTTTTTATAGCACCAGTGCTGACACTTTTTGATCAGACCTTGTATGTAAAAATTCACATATAACTAAAAATATATCCACAAAAACCTTTATCAAGAAAAAGTCCGTCAGAGGCCAAAATGTGTCAGCTAAGTTTTCCTTTTGTCTTTATTCATATATATATATATATATATATATATATATATATATATATATATATATAATTACATATGGGTACATGGGCAAGTAGTTAAACCAATAGCATTCCAACTATGAGACCCATGTTCAAATATCACCATGGTTGATTTGTCAAAGAGATGACTTCTTTGTAATATTGACTTGAGAAATGATCCCAGTATCTGGCACTAGTGGGAAGTTCGTAAAAAGCAAGCCATGGGTTAATTCAAAATATATGATTGCAATTGAGTCAACAAAACTGTTTTAAAGCCATCACTGCTTACAAGTCATTATGACCGAGGATTTAAATGTAGTTGTCTTCTTTAACTACATGACAGATTGTTCACTCTCTTCCAGAAACTGTAACTAATATCTACTCAGCATCATGTAACAAGTTCCATAACCCTTTAGGGTCATAAGTGTACTATGTGTACTGCAGCTACTCCAGCAGTGGTGTGTCTAGGGTAAGATAGCCTAACAGAGTTCATTTTTCAGGCTGGTTTTGAATCCAGAGTTTTCCTTCTAGTAGATTGGTTGCCACCCAAAGAATAGATCACAGTTTGCTCTGCTATGCAACCTGTAGCTGGAGAAAGGTGGATTCATGTCTTTTTCAAGGGCATTACTATCATTTGAATGAAAGAGAATCAACTTGAATTTGAACTTGATTCACCAATTTTACTTACTGCACTGACAATCATTGCACATCCAATAGTTGCACTCTAAACTATAGTTTGGCTGTGTGGGTGTTGAAGAAACTTAAATGCCTGAGCAGGTATCTACAACAGGGATTAGCTTGTTACCCTACCAAACTTGGAAATGAATAACAAGTCATTATTATTATATAATAGATAATTATGAATAGATAAGTAAAAAAAATGAAAAGAGACAGAAATAAAGTTATTTATAAAGCTTATGTATATAAATGTAAATGCATATACATAATATATGTATATGTAAATAAACATGCTTATACATAATATATGTATATGTAAATAAACATACTTATGTGTATGTGTTTGTACATATATATACATACACATAAAATTTGATGATATAAATTAAGACAAGTTACCACAACAGAAAGTTCTTTATGCACATATATGCATAATGCCAGACAGTGTGCATGTGGGGGTGGTGGGGTTTGTGAGGGTGGAGGTGGTGTGAAGGCATGTGTTCTTATGTGTGTGTGTGTGTGTGTGTGTGTGTGTGTGTGTGTGTATACATCTGTTTATACACATTCATACATATTCTCAAGTATGTGCTGAAACATGCTCGCAATTACATACAGATTGCAAGAACAGTGCGGTGAGGGTTGTTTGATTCGCAAAAGTCTTCAGCAACTCTAAAACGTCACAAGATTTTAAAAAATAAAACCTGAGAAACATTTATTTTTCTGTCACATGATCAGGTTCTAACATAAAATGTCTGATGTTTTTAAGAAAGAGCTCTCATTTCAAGTCTCCATAAATGCAAAAATATTGTTGTTCTTTCTCATACCGATTAAACATTACAGACTTTGTAGGCCTACAAGCAAGGTTACCAAGTATTGCCTGAGTTAACAACCACTTTCAGGTCTTTGCTCTAAGGAAATATTTCTTGAGTTTTGGTATTTCCACTTTTAGCATAACAGGAAATCCAAGAGGAAATATTTTCTACCAACGAAATTCGAATACCTATTCTCTATCTATATTTAATAAAAAATACATATATGATATAAAATATATAAATCCAAATATATAAAACATATCATGTATATGAGAAGATGATGAGAAGTTCTTAGCCCACCCAAAAATGAAAAAAATTATGATGTTTAATCATTTGGTCAGATTTTGGGAAGTGGGTCAAGCCAACGCCTTGTGCTTACATGAACACACACACACAAACACCCAAAAACATACATATATGTTTATCCATGTACAACACTTTAAACCAATCACAGATACTAGACCTTGATCCACTATTTATCCATCTTGTCACCATGGTAAGATGTGGTTTTAATAAGGGATACCGTACATGGAGTAATGGATAACAGCTTGGATTGAGGAATCAGAGAGCCGAGTTCAAATTCCAGTTGGATCCATTACTTTCACTTACGTGCTAATACCCTTGGGAAAACCCAGCCATGGGTAAATAGCAGGACAGACTGGGTTCTATAGCCTTGGGTGGCACTGGTCTAAGAGAAGGAAAACTCTGAATTCAAAACCAGCCTGGAGAAAAAAAACTTGATGGGCAGATAGGGGCTCTGGGGCCTTTCAAGGCAATCTATCTAGGGGAAGGTCACTCTGAAATATAACCATGTACATTGCTTATCTCCTTGCAGACTTTGCACCAGAAAGCAGATGGCAGGCATTGGACAAGAGAGTGGGACTGGGAATGCACAAATCTTTCTCACTTAAATACATTTCAGGTGCAGATCATTCTACAACACTAGATGAATCTACTCTTGTGAAAGGACTCATCCGTAATGTGTCGATGGAATACTCATGTGTTGGCTAATAATGCAAGAATCCATGCATGCATATATACTGTACATACAGGGAAAGGACAAACGTCCCCACAACCATTATTAGATTGTTTTCAGTACCCACCAACCCAACTTTGCTGCAATGAGGAAGGTGCTGCTGTAAGGTTGGAACTACTGGGACCACAGAATACTTGACTCCACCTGACACGCTCTCTCTTAACAAGAGTCAGAACATCCCAAAAAATGGATTATTGATGTTATATTTGAGCTGGAACTGAGTTCAAAAGCATTTACACAGCCTTCTATTTTCCATCCCACAACCCTTCCCCATAGACAAAATGTCATAAGTCTATCACTCCTCTATCATTCCTCTATAACTCCTCTATTGCTGCTCTATCACACCTCTATCACTATTTTCATAGAAAGTTTTCTGAAGTGCCACATTCCCTAGTTTCACTGAGAAATTTACAGCTAAACTGGAGCAAAAAGTGGCTTGTAAATTTTATTGCCTCCAAAATGAAATTGCTACCTTTTACTCATCATAGAGAACCATTTTCACCTTCCATCAGTATCACTGATGCTAACTTCTAGGATAGCAATTCATTGTGCTTTCTTGGTTTCATGTTTTCCACTGATATGAAGTGGAGTGATTATATTGAATCAATTGCCAGGTCTGTTGCAATGAAAGTTTGTTCACTATGTCATGCCAGACAATTTTTCTTTCCAGAATCCTCCTTACACATTTATAAATCTACCATTCTTCTGTGCATTGAATATTGCTGCCATATCTAGTCTGGTGCCCCTGGTATATATCTTGAGATTCTCAACAAAATCCAAAGAAGGGTCTGTAATGTTATCAATCCTGATCTGTCATCTGGACTTCAAACATTATCTCACCAACATGATATGGCTTCTCTCTGTCTTTTTTATAAATATTTTATGGCAACTGTTCTAATGAACTCTCCTCCTTAGTACCTCAACCACATGAACTTAAGTATACTACTTGATTGGTAACTAGATGTCATCATTTTATTGTTCAATTAGCGAGATGTAACAGTAAGTTCTATTCTTAAAGTTTCTTTTCTTGCACTTCTCACCTGTGGAACTCTCTCCTGGTTTCTTGCTTCCGTGCCATCTACGTTCTTCAAAAATTTAAATCCAATGTCAATCACCATCTTCTGCCTTCCTGAAACCTGTTCTTTTATTGTCCTTTCTCCTCCCAAAATCTTCTCATTCTCTTTCACTCTCAGTGACCCCTGGCATCTTAGTGACATTATTGCCTTCCTTTGGGTTAAATGATTAAAAAAATTAAACAAGATCTGCCCTACCATACACACAGAAGTGAACCATCTTCATTCCTTTTGTATTCCATTAGTAAGAAGAAAGTTCAAATAGATTTTTCCTAAGACTGCAACTTAATGAAACAAACTCCTGAGAGGATGCTTCCTCAAACACTACAATCTTAACCTCTTCAGACTAATGTCAATCATTACCTATTGTACATATCCTTATAATCTGCACTTACTTCTCTTTTCCCCCATCTTACATCCATACAACAATTTTATTTAGTAAACTTCTACTTTGAGTGGCTCTTGGGTCTTGTATTGGTTGAACAATTTGAAAAAAAGAAAAAAACAGGCTTCTTACATTTGAAGAGGAAGAAAGAACAGATACTACCCTTTCATCCCAGTCTGATGACCAGATAAAGGTAAGTGATAGGATAGGATGACACAAAGTCAGTTTAATATAGGATGCCCATACGCATGCATATAGGCTAAGGACAAAAATTGCCAGGTTCCTATGACCAATCTCATGCAGATTTCAGAATCCGCTAATTGTCTTTCTTTAGTGCTATGAGGAAGGTGGTGCTGCAGGGTTGGAATCCACAGAACCACTCATCACTCATTTCAAAACTGTGAACGACTTGAAGGCAGAAATATAACTGAGAGATGAAGAACAGATCCCAGTCTGAAGGCAGAGTAGCATGTAGTCTGACATTAGAGGGCTAAATAGTGACACTTTGAGCCTTGTCAGAGTAAACAGATATCACACTTTGATCCTAAGCAAAAGTGCAGATCCATGCATAAATAACCTTGTCATTATTGACAATAAGATTTGTAATATCTATTGTTTAATTGGATATATGAGAACAGCCCAAACATCTGATCATCCACTGTAGAAGACACACTCTCTATGTAGTTTCAGTATCTATTCAATATATATATATATATATATATATATATATATATATGCACACACACACATATACATATATATAGATAACAACTTAAAAGAGACCGTTTGACCAACACAAGGTCTGACCAAAATTCATGTTAAAAAAACAAAATAAAAGAACAAAGGAAAACTACAGATAAAGTTAATTTTCTCCATCAAGTCATTCATTTCTGTAGTTCACTGCTACTAACAAGCAGAAAACTTTTTTTTCTCCTGTTGGCTGAAACTAGTCAAGTAATCTATACAACCCTGTGTGTCTGAAGATTTTAATTTTTTAATATTTTTATTGTTCAAAAATATATATATATATATATATATATATATATATATATATATATATATATATATATGTATGTATGTATGTATGTATGTATATATATATGTATATATATATATATATGTATGTATAAATAAGACTGATAAGCAGTATGAATTTGACTGGTAAGCAGTATGAAATAAAACTACTAAGCAGTATGAAACTAAATTAGCTCTGTTGACTGAATAAATGTTTTGGTTCAAAATTCCAAGAAGCATACATTAACAGACACCTGATGAATGCATATTATAATAAATAGCATGATGAACATTATATTGTAAATATTTTAGATTAAACTTCAGTTATGTATTAGATAATGAACTTATGCATATTAGTAGGATATAGGCTAGTATCCATACAAAAGGAGAAATAATGTGAGAAATCAGAAAAGCTATTCAGATGCATTTTGCTTCTTTATGACAGGTGCCTTCTGATTCAAATGAGAGATAAACTTGTGTGTAAAGATTGGAATTTTGACAAAGAGGTTATAAATATCTTTATCAGATGCTACAGCCATAAAGTTTTTGATATGTCCCGGAAAGGGATATATTTGATCGAAGTAGCTAAGTGGTTTTGGTTACTATAACCAAGTAGTACATGGTAGCAGTAATCAACTGGTACTCATCGTAGTCGCAGGTAATAAGTGTAGACCAATAGGATAGCCAATGGCGTAGTCCAATGGGTGTCATCATAGACTTACACTCTGTCGTACCTACATGTCCATCTGTATTTATGATGGACACCAGCCAATCATATTCCAGTGAGGGGAACTCAGGTGCATGCATATTCGATTATATCAGGGTTTTTTTCCTATTGAAGCCGTTAATTTGAAATTGGATTTGAGTTTAGGGTTGTCCTTCTCTGTGGGTGGTTGCCTTGCTAAGGCTAAAGATCTTTTTTTTTTAATCATCTCACCCTAATCAAGGTAATAAATCCACTAAGACACAAGAAGTTACTGAGAAAATCTTATTGAGGACAAAAAACAATATAAGAATAGTGTTCAAGGTGACAAAAATGATGATTGATGTTGTTTTCAAATTTTAAAGGTAAGCTAGAAGCTGGAAAGGAATTTCACAAATGTGGAGTATACAAGAAGAAACTATTAGCATAGAACTTATGATTAAATCCAGTAATTTTAGCAGTAAAATGGTGAGACCTAACTGCTACTCTAGTGAGTCAGTCAGTTGTGCTAAGTCTCTTTCAATTCATGATGACTAGGCAGAAAATTTTCCCACAGTAGGTTGCCATTTACTTCTGCAGTAGACTTGTTGCCAACAAAGTTTATAGAACCCAGTTTGTTATGCTATACAACTCATAGCTGTGGGGAGAAGAGATAGATTCATACCTTTCCCAAGGGTATTTGTGTGTAAGTGAATTTGAACTGGAATTCAAATTCATCTCTCTGATTTCTCATCCTGAGATATTCATTATGCAAAAAGTGTATCAGAACAAGTGCCGTAAATTATTTATAGAAAAGGGACAAGGAAGCTATGTTATATTTATTTTATTATTTATAAGGGTTTTCTTTCTCCTAGGTTTGTTGCCATCCAGAACAAAAGAGCACAATCTGTGCTGCTATTTAACCTATAGCTGGAGAAAGATAGACTCGTGCCTTTTCCAAGAACAAAATAAATGAAATAGAGTCAGTCATACCAATTTCACTTTCTGTGTTGATAAATGTTACACTATTAGTACATCTACAATCAACATAGATGATTAACACCATTAATGTCTGCTTGATTTGAAATTTGCCCACTTCAAGAAAAAAAAAAGATCTACTAGGAGTGAACCAATTTCAAATCCAGCAGACATCAATGGCTTCAATATGGAAACAAAATTTTCTGGATGTAGCATCTGATAAAAATATTTATTACCTGCTCCTCCAAATTCCAATGCACTTCTCATATACACAGATTTGTTTCTGAAGACATCTGCCATAAAGAGGTGAAATGTGTTGTTTAAATAGTTTTGCACTTATCTTCATATACACAGTCCCCAGAAATACATAAAAACATTCAGTCTACATCTCCTGTATCATTTAACAGATAATACATACAGTTTTTATATCAAATGTTTATTGCAACACATATGCTATCACTGTGAACAGAAAGAATACTGAACTAGACACTGTTGTAAGAGAAATAATTTGTAATAAGAAAATCAACCAAAACTAGTCGATAAATATATTTTGTCCATTCTCTGATGCTGCAGTCATCATAACATACCCAGAGACAAAATGTGAAAGTTACAAGATTAAGAGGCAACCATAAATGGTTAAACCATCCTTGCTACATAGAAATCAAACATACCTTCCTTCACCACATTGTCAAGTGGTGGCTACTACATTTGGATGAATACATACATATATTTACTTCTGCCTGAACTCT